TATAATAGTTTTGGTAAAAAAAATTACTTATAAGAGAGGTATTCCATGAGAAAGTGGGACAAATTTTTAAGGTTTGTAACCCACCATCTCAGATTTCCTTCATACTTTGTAAAAATGGTTATCTATATAACATAGACTACCTTGCAAAATTTTAGCACTGATATCAAAGGGGTTTTGGAGTTATTGTTACTTTAAAATCAGCTATTTTTAGCGGTTTTTTCAGTTTGGCGGCCCTTTTGATTTTACTACAGTTTTTGTTTTACAAGTTACTGTTTAACTAAACATGTAATTAAGCTGAAAATGAGCCCCAGTATAGTTTTTAGGACGAGGAATCAGAATATAATATTTGTTTTTAATGAGAATATTTAGAGTTATATCAATATAGCGATTGTACTTCACCTACAGGTATTTTTGAAATTTTAACAAAGGCAAAAAGGAGGTCAGGTTTTTTTAATTTTTTTTTATTTTTATTAAATTAGATATATTAAAGAGTGTTTTGGTACAAAATTGAGAGGTGGGTTTTTTGAGGATTTTTAAAAATAATTAAATGAATTATAATGAAAAAGTACATTTGGATGTTACTTATTAAAAAATTTCTTATTTTGAAAACTTCCATTATAAGAAAAAAAAACCATTAACAAAATTAAAATAAAAAATTCCTAATAGATGTAATATATTAAGTCAAAATAATCAAACAAATACAAGCTTTAAATAAAAAACTCGTCAATAAAAAACCAGAACTTGCATTTGAATAATTCATAAATTGCTTATAAAAGAAAACTGGTGTATTATGATTGAGTTAATTTAAAAATTGGATTTTATGCAAATCATCTGTGTCTATCTGGTATATGAGCCCTGATCTTGAAGATGATGGTTTTTTTTATCATAATTAAAATATGGCTTAGGAACCCAACAACAATCATCTCTATTTGGCCAGTGTAATGAAGTGTTAGGTAAATAAGGATGCATGAATTTTACAAGGGCATCTTCATTTCTTTCATCAACTTCAAATACCAAACCAACCCAGTTAAACATATCATATTTGCAAATATAATATTTTCCTACAATGATTTGTATTCAATTGTTTCATCTTCATCCACTTTGTCATTCTCTTCAAATGATCCTTCCTTTTGCAATAGATTTGCAGTCATATAATTTATAATATTTTGAATTCATTCAAAATTTAAGGGCATTGATTACATCTATGGACCATGCATTCCCTTGACTCTCTGCTACAAACAATCTTCTCAATAAGTTCATGGTAATTCTTCTCCAGTTTAACTGCGCTAAACATAAGCTTTAGGTTTTGGTGTTTTGCACATATACAAACAGCATGGGTTCCTTTTGGCTTTAACTGAGAAAATTTAGAAAATCCTATTTTGAGTTGATGGTGTTCTAGTTTGAATTCAATAAATAATTCCTTTAAATTGCTAAGAAGTAATCGCTTTAATACATGTTTATTTTTGGATACACTTACAAAATCTTTTATACCTGGTAACTGCCTACTAAACTGATCATTACAATAAAAGCTTTCTACCTTATTAATGATATCTGATTCAATTCTAACAATGTTAGTTTTTTCTGGAAGTGTTAATATTCCTTTTTCAAATTTAATTTTTCTTGCTTTAGTTATGGTTGATTTTGATATATTAAATACTTCACCTGCTTTCCTTAAAGGCCATGAATCTTGAACCAATGTTAAAATCTTTTCTTTTCTATTTGGTGTTTTCAGCTTTTCTTGCTTTGAAAGTATCAATTTATCTAGATCTTCAGCTTTCTTCTGATTTTCAACATTGGGCTCCCAGTAACATCATTTGTCAGGTCTGTTGCGTTAACATTAAGGATAACTGATAGCTTTTTTGACATAACATCAGTAGCTTGCATTAATTTTCTTTTTCCTAGAGAAATTTTAGCATGTTGTGGAACCCCATTAAATTTTACTGGCGATACATCTAATTTATCAAAACTGATGTTTATAAGTTCTTTTTCTTGTGCCATTTCTATATCTTCATCAAAAAATGCTTGTTCCAGAAAATCATCTTCACCATTGTGGTCCTGTAAGGTAGACCAGTTATCTATTTTTTTTTACCAATTCTTTTCGACATGAAGGACACATTTTAAAACCAGGTGTTGTTTTAATACCAATTGAACACATATTTTTTGCTAGTTGAATATCAATTTCTCGGACAATAAGTTAAAAACATAAAAATTTACCATTTATTTTAGTTTTATGCTTTTTAAATGGGTCGATGCAATTTTTTTGGGAGTTAGCAAACCGGTTAAGTAAAATTTGTTCATGATGTAAACAGATTTTAACATTAACATTTAATATTGATAGCCCAGATCTCCATAATAATAAATTTCTATCTTTCTCTGAATAGCTTGATAAATCTTTCAATCCAATTGATTTAGTGTACACCATTTTATGACATTGATCATTTAATAAAATACCAACTGTACATAAAATCTTGATCATTTTATTTTTTCCAATTTTTTAATAAGCTATAAATAAACACAAAATACACAGACATATCTAATACATTTTAATACATTTATTAAAAATGGAAAAAATATTTACCATTTATAATTAGTATTTTTAAATATGTACAATTTATAGTATTTTATGTATTTATTTATTTTTAATTAATGATTAGCTATGGAGAACAAAAAAAAAAGCTGGTAAAACATTAGACTAATCAGACTAAGTCTTAGGGTTTTAAATATTGAGTTTTTCTTCTGTTTTAGTCAAAGATAACACAATATGTCATTAATTAGAAAGAAAAAATTTATTTAAAAAAAAAATATTCATTTGAATTAAAGTTTCTTTAAATAATAGGTTAAAAGGATTTCTTTTGTATAATATTTTTGATAACTAATGAAAATTGTAAATGTCAATTAATTTAAAATAAAATCATAAACACAGACCTAATGAAGAAAATCTGAGATGGTGGGTTACATACCTGTCCAACTTTCTCATGGAATACCTCAAGAACAACTTTTTTTAATACTAGGGTGTATCTATCGCCACCATATCCAGCCTAACAATAAGATACACTTGTTTCCTTGGGATGTGAAATGAAATAAAAACAACTTTTTGTATAAAAAAAACCTACTACTTCATTTAAATACACACTTTTATGGATGAAATTTGCATTTATTAAATGGTAAAGGCAATGGTTTAGTGCCCTCTCCTGGAAACACCCATTGACTAGTGACCAACATTAACACATTTTCATACAACTATCTTTTGATACCAAGACATAGTTTTTTAGATAAGTACTTACAAATTAAATGAACTGAATGAAATTTTGACTACAGTTTCTTCAACAAATCCATATATCGAAACATTGGTCTTAAAACATCATATTGGTAGGTATGTTAGATTTTGATAATTTTTCACTTTAAGAATACTGTATCAAAACCCTCTGTAACGATATACAACAATTTAGTATATAATCTAGCATATAATTTAAAATTTTCATGTCACATTTATATATATATATATATATATATATATATATATATATATATATATATATATATATATATATATATATATATATATATATATATATATATATATATATATATATATATATATATACATATAATTTATTTACGATTATTTATTTACGATTTATTTTTTAGTTATGCAGATATGTGATGTTGTAGTAACAATTTTTTTTTCTTAAGTTTTTTAGCGTATAATTTTACTTATTATTTTTTGTTAGCCATTTATTGTTTTATAATTTAGTTATTACACAGGTCAACCAAAAAAAAATTTTTTTTGTTGCCGAGCAAACAATTAGTTTTTTTTATAGCACCCCTATATTTTGTCGAAAAAAGTATGTCAACCTGATTCTCAAAAGAAGCATATTTTCATAGAGATTTTAAAAATGTTATTTGTTAGTAATAAAAATAAGTACTTTTTGTATTTTTGTATTATTAAAATTTTTCTAAGAGTCTTTAGCATTTTTTGACAATTTTTTTGTCAATAAGTTTTAAGGAAAAATATTCATGTTTTCTAAATTCTCTATAAAAATACGCTTCTTTTGAGACCCAGGTTGACATACTATATATATACATATAATTTATTTACGATTATTTATTTACGATTTATTTTTTAGTTATGCAGATATGTGATGTTGTAGTAACAATTTTTTTTTTCAATTATTTTTATATATAATTAGCAAATAATTAGTTTTTTTATTAGCATTTCTTATTTTGATTTCAAATATGCAATTCATATTTGAAATCAAAATAAGAAATGCTAATAAAAAAACTAATTATTTGCTCGGCAACAGAAAAAAAATTATTGTAGACCAGTGTTATTTATTTTTGAACCATGATATATAAATTATACAGTTATATATTATTTGTTTTTATTCTCATTTTAGCCTTTTATTATATGTATTATTCTACCGCGTATTATTATTATTTATTTATTGTTTTTATTTTTAATCTTATGTTGTCTTTTTTTGTTGTTTTTTTTTTGCCAAAAGTACTTAATGCAATTTTTTGTTATGTTTGCAATGTTTGTGGCAATTTTTGCTTTGTTTAATATTTTATTCATTTATTTATTTAGTCATAATATTTGCAATATATTTTAGTTATTATAACTTATAATAACTATAATCTTATAATATAAGAACTATGATTTATATATTTATTAAATCTTTATAATTTTTTTAGCAACAGTCGTTTTTAATTCTTGTTTTTTAATACTTGTTACATTTATTAGTTTATTACTGTTTGTAACTTACATGTATTCAGTTTGTAACTTAAATTTGTTCAGTTTGTAACTTACATTTTTTTAGTTTATTACTGTTTGTAACTACATTTTTAAAATATAATATATATAGCTGAAAAATTATTCCTCACACAATAATATTATGCCTCGAATAATATTTGCATATTATTAATATGCAAAACACGAAGCACAACATTATAAATGATTATAGTGAAAATCACAGGAGCAATAATTAAATTATAAAAATTACCTACTAATCTCAAATTTCCACCTAGTCTATTATCACAAAAGATCTCGTTTTAAGCACATTTCAGTGATTGTAATGATCTCCTTGAGCTTAAATAGCAGGTATATGAAGCATAGACTTGAGTTAGAGGCGTAGCTTCTTTAAGAATCCAACCCAACTAGGTCTGTAGAACTAGTGAAGCTAGTAGCTAAACCCTATTGTCTTAGAACATAATTGTTGAAATAAAAATCTCTAGCTAAAAACGACTGTATTTTTAACAGTAAAATCTATAATGTCAGACAACAATAATTCAATGAAATTAAATTTAGGTAACTTTTTAAAAACAATTTTTTTTCGCGCTAAAACAGCTGTTTCCAAAAAATTTAGGTTCGGTGTCTTTAAAGCGAAACTTTTAAGAGCGAAAGTTTTGAAAGCGAAAGGTCGGGAAAGCGAAAAAGTTAAAAGCGAATGCGATTGGTTAAGCGAGAAAATTTTTTTAACAACATTAGTAACATCTTAAATTAAGATGTTATTAAGATTTAATAACATCTTAATAACATTGGTAACATCTTAATAACATTTTAATAACATTGGTAACATTATTATTTTTATATAAATTCATATGAGTTAACCTATTATTCTTTTTCATTGAATTGTGTCATCTTAAAGTTGTTACAATTGAAGTGAGTCAATTTCAGAAATAGGTTCATGAAGTTTATTATAAACTTTAAAAGTTTATACTTTATAGAAAATTGAGTAGGGCACAATTGAATTGTTTAGAATTTTGCTCCAAAACAAAGCGTAAAAGTTAAGTGTGTATACCAATTATAATAGGGAAAATTAGTTGTTTTCGCATAAAAAATTTAGTTAGTTAGAAGTAGTTCTCTTTTATGTGCCAGCATATCGGCCAGTTATATTTACTGTTTAATTATCTGCTAGGCAAAGTGAGTATTTTAACATTTTTGTTTAAAATAATTTTAATAATTGTTATCAGACATTCACTTTAGAAATATGAATTATAGCTTAAACTTTAGGCTTTTAAATTAAAGCCTGTGTTAAAAATGACTTTTATATGTTGTATTTAAATATGACTTAATGACATTATTTATATGACAAAAATGGCTTTTATATGGTGCATTTGCCTGAAATTTGACTTATAGTCTATTAGTCAAAAATCACAATATAAGTCTCTATAATAAAGATACTTATATTGTGACCATTATGTATGGCATTATCTTGATCGATGTTGTTACACTTGGAATATGTTGTTTCAACTTTTAGGTATTTTATTTTGCTACAATTTTTTTATGATGTTGTTTTGATTTGATTTGTTCTGTAAACAGAAAGCTGTACAGTGTCCTTTTTTTTCCCACCTGTTGAATTTCAGCAACATTTTTGTCAAAATTATTTATAGCTCATTTTACAAGAGGTAGTAGAAGATTATTTTATTTTTAACTACTTTCTTATTTTGTAATGTGGTTTTTTTTAGAACAACTTAAGAGTATGATTTAATAACTGTGTGAATCTTCTTGGTTGATGCCTAAAAGATTTTTTGAAAGCAGTTCTACATTTTATTGAAATATAAAAACATGCCAATATCCCAAAAATTATTCTGCGTAATGTTTTTTGGATTGTTTGCATGTAAAATTAAAAATTCAGTCATTAATTGTGAAAAAGACTAATTGGCTAATTAGTTTAAAAAGTTTCAATGGTGATGATTGATTGGTGAGAAACTTATTTACTTTTTATGTTTTAATTACATGATTTGTAAATATTTATGATATGAATTGTTTGTGATCTCAGTATAGTAAAGTTTTTATTTCTACATTTGTATTACTTAGCACAAATATTTTATAATTTTGTCTACAGATTGGTTTGTAATAGCCTTAATTATCTTATTTACTTAATGTTCAGTATACTGTTATGTTGTTTTTAAACTAGATAAAATAGTTTTTAAAACTAAAATGACTGCTGGCTCTATATGAATCTAATTTAAGTTTACTTCTTTGGGAATTTTATATCATATATTAAGTTTATTGTATTGGTAACTTTTTTATTACTAAAAAAAGAATTTTGTTACACAAAAAAAAGTGTAAAATGCATAACATCCCAGCTATTACAATATATTGGAGGGCTTTTATTGGAAACGTTTTTTTTTTAACATTTTCATTTCCAACAAGACTGCAAGCACCTACTATTAGAGAAAAGATGAAATTTATAGAGTAAAATAACAACTAACAGAAAAAATTAATAGATCGCAAATTATATGAAAAAAAACAAACAAGCTGAAGCAAGTCAAAAAAAAGTTTCACGAAAAAACAGATTAGAACTTTTTAGGCACTTAGGAAGTCATATTAAAGGATTAGCCTTTATTGAATGATGAGTAACACAATAGTGAGTTTTAGTAGATGATACAAGAGACGCTAGCTCTTTAGAGCAGTGTCCATAATTGTATTTATAAAAAATAAAATGAGAAGCAACATTATGATAATATTCTAATGGTTGGAGGTTGGCTGCAAAGGTCAAGGTGCAAAAACAATTCCTTTTTGTACCTTGTCTAAAATAGAAAGGCCATTACTGGAAGATCTGATTAAGATATGGCAAAAGTGTTCCATGCAGGGATGGATGTAAGATTTATAGAGATAAGACATAAATATTTATAGAGATGTTTGAATTGATGAATACTTTTAAATTTAATATTGTATCATAAGTTGACAATATATTCAAAGACTGAAATTTAGCACAATTGTATTAAGCAAAGGTCTTTGCACACCACCAATTAAGCATTTATATTTCAAGAGTTGTTTATTGATAAAAGCTTGCCTTAATTTACATAAATAGTAATATTTGTAGATATTATTATCTACTAGATAATAATTTATATTAAAAACTAACCTTTATATGTCTCGTTTTCAAATATGTTGTGTTGATATATTTGCCCTGGCTTTTAGTTTATGACTCAATATTTAAACATCAATTCTTGAGGTTTAACTATCTCATCATTTCTAAAAGTATTAAGGGTAGACAGCCTAACTCACCATACCTAATCAAAACAAAAGCACATTATAAATTCGTATCTTTCTAATTTTATGAATAATTTTTATTTAAACAAATTAAAATTAAATAATATCAATAAGAAATTATGCAAATCTTTTTTTTTTATCTATAACTTATTAACTTGTAGTGCAATTATAATTTTTATGCAAGATTTTATACCTTTTTGTCGCAATGTAACTCAAGTCTCAGCTAGAATACCAAATGAATAAATAATTCTAAACTATATGCATTTAATTCTATACTAAAACTATATACATAAACTCTAAACTATATACAATAAGTTTTATTTATTTATTTAATCTAATAAACTCTAACTGTAACTATAACTTTCAGCTAGAATATCAAATAAATAATTCTAAACTATAACTAACTTATAATTATAAAAATATTAACAGTTTAAAAAAAATAAAATCCAAACGCTAAATAATCTATAATATAATATTGAGATAATAACAAAATCAGAAAAAATTTCAATAAATTTCAGTTGTTGTTGCTGTTGAACATATCGCGATACTCGATTTCCCGGTTTTCGCTTTCAAACTTTTCGCTTTAACGTTCTTTCGCTTTAAAACTTTTCGCTCTTACGTTCTTTCGCTTTTAAACTTTTCGCTCTTACCTCCCATTACCAAAATTTAGGAGTTTATAGTTCGGAACCATTGTCAAAAGAAATAATAACAATGCTGAAACATGACGCATTAAGGTTATGTCATCGCTTTGAAAGGTTTCCCATAAAAATTATAAAAATTATGTTAATTATAGTTCTAAGAAATAATTTCGTCACTTACAGCATTCCTATGACCAACTCTGTGAGCATTTTTTTTTAGTTTATTGCGTTCATTGTTTATCTATGATCTGCTTCTTAAAACTGCTTCTTAAAAACTGCTTCTAAAAATTTTATTCAATACTTTGAATTCTTGCTGCTAACTGTTCTATGGCTGAAATTCTATGGCAACAAAGGAGATTAAGATGTTTTTATGTTTTTATCGAGAAAATGAGTTGAAGGTGGATCAGGTTTTTTAATAGTTAAATCTAAAAAAAAATTGCGATGATTTAATTGTGTATGCCTTTCAAAGCCTCGTTAAGATATGCATTTTAAGGAGCACACTAATCGACATATATTGCGGTTTATTACAACATATTGCAATATTATTGCGCGTTCAATTTAAATTGCTATATATTGCTCAATTAATTGTCCAATAAAATATCAATAAAATTATACAAATGTAATGTGTTTGTAAATGTAATTTAGATGCATTTAAATATAAATAATTCTGATGCTTATCTAATTGCCTGTGTCATTTTTTTGTTTTACATAAATTTAATGGGTTTACAAGCAGTAGCAAGATTGTTGTTAAAATATTACAATATAATTGCAATATAATTGCAATATAATTGTAATATTATTGCAATATTATTGCAACTAATATTAGGTAATCAATTTTATGATTGTAACTGAAGTTACAAGCATGCTTTCATTGGACTTTATACTGCAGTGTAAGTGCGGCCAGGCAGGTTTCTTCGGCGCACGTTAGACATGGCTTGAATGAGCCCAGCAAACCTGTCTGGCCACACAAGATACCCGTGCAAAAATAACATAGTTATTTATAAGTAAAGACTCATAAAATTTTATTAATGGTGAATATATGTGCAATGAAACGAAATTTTTTTAATAGAAAGTACGAGAGAAGAACTTTACATTTTACGGCTGAGTCTACTTCTTCTGAAGAGGAAATTACTAATAGTAGTTCTCAGTCCGACTGTAGCAATACAGATGATAATGTTAATGATGGTAGTTTTACCCAAGAGACAAAAGAAATTGTATCTATAGTATCTGAGGAAGAAAATCAAATTCTAGTATCTGAGGAAGAATCGAGTGCTTTCATGTTTCAGTTCTTTAGTTCTAATCCATTTGAATGTTCTTTATTGGATTCAATTGTTAACAAAAAGTTTATGTTTTAACCTTGTTGTATTTAATGATTAGCAATTCATTTACTGAAATCGCATTTGATAGATTTTTGAAGACTTTGCTGGTATGTTAGATGTAGTTTAAATTGTGCAATGTACTTGTAAATGAATATTGTGAAGCTAATAAAATTATCAATCAACTTAGTCCTTAGCAATAAATGTTGATCTGGCTATTTATCTCTGGCTGCTACCAGAAATGGTGCACATTGCCAATAATTCGTAAAAAAAGTCTGATAAAGTAATGCAGAACGTTCCTAATTATAAAACATTTTACTTGTGAAAATTTTATCCGACTTTTTTTACAAATTATATATTATATAATATTTTACAATTATATATTATATATTTTATATCTATAGTTTTTACAAATTATTTTTTTTACAAATTATTAAATTATAAAAATAATGAAGTATGTCATATTTTTATTTCAACTTGAGGCTGGGGTCTGGCCCAGGCTTAGTTTGGTTGATAAAGCTTGAAAAAATATATTTTTAATTTTTAAATTTTTTTAATAGATTTTTCGCTGTATAAATGACATGCCGTCATCTCATAAAATGATTTGTAGATTTGTTACTAAAAATATATTCTCCCATACTGAACCAACGCATAAATATTATTGTCATAATTGCTGCACAGCTTTAGTTGACACGTGTAAAATAAATACTCATTGTTCATCCCATATCTTTATATTGGATATCATTAGCCAAATGAAACTTGTTTTATTTCTGAATTTGGATGCAATTAAATCATATCAATTGGAAATTATGTCAGGTAAAAGAAAGAGTGATTTTATTTCTAGACCAAATTTTGTTGAAAATATGAAGTCTGCAAATGTTTTACATATTCATTTATTGATGTCAACAGATGGTGGAGAACCATACACAAAAAAAAAGATTACAATGTGGCCATTTCATGCTATTATTTTAGATTTATCATCTTATAAACGATTCCTATTTGAAAATACACTACTTTTTGGTTTATGGTTCTCATTATTAAAACCTAATTGGAATGCTTATTTAAAGGTAATTAAATTATTGATTGTTATTTTTTATTTTAAAAGTAGTTGTCAATGGAATTACCTATAGTAGTAGAATTCACTGTTCCAGCCGTGACAAGAATAAATTGGGCAACGTTACTATATTACTAACTTTTTTTTAGGAGTACATCAATGGAAAACTGTTTGAAACACCCCTTGAAATTAACAATATCCAAGTAGTTATTCATATTGTTGGTTTTGTTTTCGATTTGCCTGCAGTGGCTTCAATCATCAATCATAAGCAGTATAATGGTGAATTTGGATGTCACTATTGCGAACATCCTGGTAGAACAATTGAAAGAAAACATGGTTCCGCTAGAAATTATTCACATTCAGATACAAATTATAATCTTAAAACATCTGAAATGTATGCCATATATGCTAGATTAGCCGAAAAATCAAAAGTATCTGTATTTGGAATTAAAGGCTCAAACATCTTTAGTGACATTTCATTTATTAAAGTGCCAGATATGATACTTATTGATGTGTTACATTTGTTTTACAAAAATTGCTCAAAAAAGCTTTTAGTTTGTTTATTTTCTGTTACCAATAAACACAAATCATTTTTTATTGGTAGTGCAAAATTAAATGCTATGGAAGACTTACTTGCTGATCAAAAAATGTCACATAACATGCCCAAGCCATTAACTATTAAATCATTCACACATTGGAAAGGCCATGACTTTAAAAACTTTATTTTATACTTAGCAGTTCCATATTTTTTACCATATTTGAATCCTGACTGCATGATGATGATTTATTCTCTAGTAATTGGTATGCGTTTGTGTAGCAGTGAAATATGTTTAGATAAGGTGTTGCTTATTAGTCAGCTGTTTAACTTTTATCAAAAATCATTGTCTGAGTTGCTTCCTTTATATATGAATACTATAAATGTTCATTTGCTTGGTCATGTTAGCGATATTATTAAAATGCATGGAAGTGTTACAAATTACTCAATGTTTTGTTTTGAAGCTCGGCTAAGTAATTATAAAAAAATGATGAAGAGAACACATGGTCATCCACAACAGATAGTACAAAAATTTCTTGACTTCAAAACAGCTTCTTGTTTTTTGCAAACAGCAGATCATCCTAAAAAAGTTGAAGTTTGTAAAGCATTAAATATTGGCATTATTGAACAAGAAGAATTGCAGTTGTTAAATCCGGGCAGATTGTTGAAACATGGTATTGTTTACCATTCAAAAGGTTATGGCAAACATAACAGCTACACTTGTCAATTTGGACATAATAAGTTTGGTATCATATTAGATTTTCCTTTAGTTGACAATGTAATACATGTTCAGTTACAACTATTGAATGTGAAGTGTAAGTTAGTTTCTACTTTTGGTGATATGATTGGAAATTTGGAAATTAACTTTGATGATGACTTTTTTTTTATTGTTGAACAAACAAAAAACATTGTTGTTATTTCAGCTGACACTTTAGTCTGCAAATGTATATTAATTAAAAGTAAATTAGATACAAAAGATGTATTAATTTTGACACCATTGAAAGAACTTTTCGAATATGCTTAGGGTGGCTAAATGTAAATTTTGTAATTAATAAATATGCTTTACATCATGCATGTGTGTTTTTTTATACTAACAAACATTTTTGTTTTTAATATTTTGATAATTTAATTTAAAATAATTTGATAATTTGATTGAATTTTTTTACAGGTTTATATTTTATTAAATAATGACTTACCCTGATAGAAATAGAACAAAGAAATTAGATTTTGTAGACACTCAAAAGCTTTCTTCTACGTTTGTTCTTTTATGGTACAAGGATTGTGAAAAAGATGAGCGGCATACCTCTCCCATATCACTTTCAAATACA